ACTCTATGTGGCAATAGGGCAGGAATTATCAATGATGATAAAGCCTATTATCAGCATTTATTGAATCCCTGCAATTTACATGGCACTATGCTAAGTGTTTTATATGTTACTGTGAGCCACAAACAACCCTGTCAGGAAGTTAGTACCATAGTAACATGAGGGAACAAAGCCACAGAAGTCAATACTTGTTCAGTGGCACATAGCTTGTAAGTGGCAAGACAGGGTGGGCCCAAGTTCCTATGAAGCCAAAAACTATCCTCTATCCACCACAGTCCCCCCTGCTTTTCATTTTTAATTCCTTTTTGTACAGAGTCACTGTGTATTTCTACATGGAGTCTAGATTGATAGTGGATTTCTCCTTTGTATAGTAGTGATATGTTGTTACAGTGTCATTAAAAATCTTGGTGTCAGCAGCTCAGGGATGGGACTGACTCATTGGTGTCCAGTATTTCAGGGGCTACAGTGGGTTTTCATTTCATTTTATAATGTCATCCCATAGGCCAGGGATAAATTGTGACTTCAGAAGAGTAAAGGTTAATATTAATCACAGTTCATTTTTTGGACATACTATTCTTTTACAGAGCTGCTTCTTTATGAAATTAAGTGATTGTTAATTATTTAAATACTGAATGAGTTGTATGCAACTACTAGGGATGCCATAGTAAAATACCATCGACTGGGCAGCTTAAACAACAGAAATTCATTTTCTCACAGCTCTGGAGCCTGGGAAGCCCAAGATCAAGTTCAGCTTCTGGTGAGGGCTCTTTTCCTGGCTTACAAAGGGCCACATTGTCCTCACATGGTATTTCCTCTGAATCTGTCAGGTTGGGATGCCACCCTTATGACCTCATTTAATCTAATTACCTCCTAAAGGTTCTATTTTCAAATGCATTCACCTTGGGGCTTAGGGCTTCAGCATATGAACTTGGTTGGGGGGCACAATTCAGTCAATAACATTTGCTAAATTTTTTCATGTGTTCAAAATTCTAATTTCTTAATGAGAAAATGTATAGCCTCAACATGATCTATCATCCATAGGGAATATTTTAACCCATTCTAAAAGTCTTAGTCAAGCCTTAAATAGACTTGATTTTGCACCTTTTAGATTATTTTTTAAAACTTTTTTTCCCTTTAAAAAAAAAGCTTCTTTTGGAAGGGCATGTATTCACATATTAAATCTCTTAGAATAAATTAACTTTCTATTTTTATTAAAATATTGAAGTGTATTCTATTATCCTTCCATTTAACATATTACATGACCTATATTTAGCAATAACCCTGCACTCACCAGCATGCTCTGCAATAGGAAAGTATTGTTTAATTTGCCTATTAGCTGTGTGACTGCTTAAAGAAGGCACCACATTCAAATCTGCACTTCCTGGTAGAAAATAGAAGTGAAATTCAATAAAAGTTGAATAGATAAAGAAATATTGTTCCTTTAAAAGATTATTTGGGGTAAAACTAATTATTGTTGTAATAATGTTTAGCCCTCTTGTGATTTATAACACAACCTTAAGAACTACCTTTAATTTTCTAAACTGAAATTACAGTGATGACAAAAACAACAATAATAGCTAATATTTATTGAATGTTTACTGCATGCAGAAAAGTATTCTAACCATATTAAGTGTAGTTATTCTTTTAATCCTTACAGTGAATTTATGAGAAAGATCCTCTTTTTACCCACATCTTCTCTGGACAAGTTTCTCATATTTAGCACCCCTAAATATGAGAGGTGGAACCCTGGAATCTGCATTTGAAATAGACATTCTCACTTTCCCCCACACAGTTCTAACAATAATTCTGACATGTATTACAGTTATGAGTATGCCTTCTTAGAGGACGAATCTGTTTGGATAAAAGAATGATGGCAGTTTTTCCAACAGGGCAATAACAGAGACAAAGATCTGGGAGAAGCGTGGTTTGATGGCAGATGCATTAAGGAAACGGGATCTAATTAGAATGCAGACGCTGTTTTGGAGAGCCGTGGAGAGGAAGGATATTAAAGCCAAACAAGGATATTAAAGCCAAAATAGGACTGTAGAAATCAGAGGAGTTTAAATTTAGTGAAGAAATAGAGCCACATGTTAATAAGTAAGAAAGCCTGATGAAAACATTATTTAAGAAAAATTGACCTGTGAATTAACTCTTATTTTACAAATTTATCTTACCAGCTTTTAAATATTTTCTTAATATTTTACAAACATCTTTATTTCTTATTTTCTCTTGTTGGCTTCTGGATCTCTTACAAAAGAGAAATATATTATGTTCATAAATGTCCTCAAAGAATTTGAAATTTTCCTCAAAATGAGGTATAAAACTCAAAGACTATGTAGTTTGAAGGCTAAAAGTTAAGAAATCGATGTACCATATTGCATACCTCAAGGTACATATCTGATTCTTCTGCCTGTGACCATCATGCATTGTTGGTAGGTGTATAAACTGATATGACCTCCGCAGAGGACAGTAGGACAGTATCTATGAAAATTTTAAATCTATATTCCCGTTGATTCAACTATTCTACATGGACATGCTCACACATCTACATGGAGATTTACGACAGCACATTGGTATTGCTCAGGGTCTGAACTCTTTATCACTCAATAGGTAACTGGTTATAGAAAATAAAGTATAGTATATAGACAATAAAATACATGGCCATTAAAAAGATTGTTAGATTCATATTTCATGTGTTGATATGGAAAAGTCTCTAAGATATATTTTAAATTAGAAAAAGCAAGATGCAGGCTGGGTGTGGTGGATCATGCCTGTAATCCCAGAACTTTGGGAGGCTGAGGCAGGTAGATCCTTTGAGTTAAGGAATTCAAGACCAAACTGGACAATATGGCAAAATCCCATCTCTACTAAATACAAAAAATTAGCTGGGCATAGTGGTGCACACCTGTAGTTCCGGCCACCCAGGAAGCTGAGATGGGAGGATCACCTGAGCCTGGGAGGTCAAGGCTGCAGTGAGCCATGATTGTGTCACTACACTCCAGCCTGGGCAACAGAGACCCTATAAAAAAAAAAAAAAAAAAAAAAAGCAAGATGCAGAGCAGTAAGTGTACTATGGTACAAGGTGCATAGTGTACATTTGTCAAAAAGTTGGAAGTGGAATATAATAGGATCTTAGATTAGAGGAAGACAGCTGTTTTACCGTTTATTATTTTGTGTTTACGCTTTGACAAAAGTTATCACTGTCAAAATTTATCCACCTTTTTAAGTGAATTAAAATGTTTAATATCATTAAAAGCCTTCCAGTAAGGTATTCCCCTGTAGAAAATCCAAAAGGTATTATCTGCATGAGTGTGCATGAGCACAGTAAGTGCATCTTAAAGTATCAGAATTATGTTCTCCTTCTGTTAACTTTTAAGGTGTGTTCTCACAGTGGCCTTTATTTTTTCCAGCATTCAGTAAATACTTATTATGTATACTATATGCTTTTTATTGAAGTAAATTTTTAACTTGAGCCTGAGAATTTCTTTAGCGCAATCAGCTTTGAAAATTGGTAGGAACTTTGAAGACCAGTGTCCTCATTTTAAGCCAAAGAAAGCTAAAATCCAAATGGACGTGTCTGAGATCTCAGCGCCAGTTAGTGGCCTAACTGCTGGGAGAACCCACCTCAGTTCATTCCACACACCACCCTAAATGATGCCAGGAAGAAAAAAATCACCTTGAATTTGTCCTTGTCCTTTTATTTCACTAAAATAAAGTCAGTTTCGATCACTTTGAGTAAGTAGATTTAGTCCTCTAATGACTAACTTTGGAAAGATTTAATGGTATCAGAAATCAATTCTTTAATATTAAACATTTAGAGGAAAGTAAAATATTCTAAATTTATGTTTTTTCTCTTACTTATTTTTTTGAGATGGAGTCTCACTCTTACTAAGGCTGGAGTGCAGTGGCGTAATCTCGGCTTGCTGCAACCTCTGCCCTCCCAGGCTCAAGTGATTCTCACACCTCAGCCTCCCAAGTAGCTGGAACTACAGGCACACGACACCACACCCTTTGGATTCTTTTCTATAAAAAATAACTCTTATATTTTTAGCAGAGACAGGGTTTCACTATGTTGGCCAGACTAGTCTCAAACTCCTGATCTGAAATGATCTGCCCACCTCAGCCTCCCAAACTGCTGGGATTACAGGCATGAGCCACTGCACCTTGCCTGTTTTTTCTTTTAAAAAGTAACATTTTAATTTATAGATCATGTAATTTTTACACTCTAAATATTGTTTGAACACTTTCCTACAGTATTAATAACTCAGAGATATTTTTAGTTATTACCACTGAAGGAAGCAGCATATCGAAATAGCTTTGAGTGGGCATATCTTTTCCTAAAATGAGGAAGGAACCTGTATTACATAAGGAAGAAACAAATGCATCCTATTGTTGAATGATATTTTTGGATTGTATTTTCCATCCAGCTTTTGATACGGTGAAGTCTTACCTGACTAGATTGTGAGCTCCTCAGACACGAGGCCTGCTTGTTCAGCCTTTCCCATCCCTGAGCTGACTCAGTGTGATAGACCTGTAAAGGCACTTCAGACATCTTTTACCAACTAATTGTCTTCTCCCAAATCCTTTTAACACTCACAGAGAACCAATGCCATGTTGGAAAAAGTATAGTCATAGACTGGGGGATATCATGTTGTTTTATAATAAAAAAGAGAGACAGATGGTACTATTGATTTTTCAGGATTGAGACTAGAACGTGTGGTTTATGCCTTATTCCACATACAAACTAGAGGGCTGCTTGCGTTCCCAGAGAGACGCGAATTCAGTACATCTTCAACATCATTGTTAACATATTAAATTAGGCTAAAAATTAACAGCAATGCATTTTTCTTGGAAATTTGAGGGAAGCAAAGGCCATGCTTGGTTAATACAAAACCAAAGAACCCCTATTTGTTCATTGTAGACCACTTAATACAGCTCTAACTATTCAAGTTTGCAACCTGCCTGTATTTGATTTCCCTTTTTTTTTTCCCCACCCTCCAAAGCTGCAAGAGAAACTGTGTGGTTAGAAAGGGAAGAGCGAGCCAGGCAGCACTACGAGAAGCACCTGGAAGAGCGGAAGAAGAGGTTGGAGGAGCAGAGGCAGAAGGAGGAGCGGAGGAGGGCTGCTGTGGAGGAGAAGCGGAGGCAGAGACTTGAGGAGGACAAAGTAAGCCGCCCCCAGGAAGAATATGAGAGGCTCCTCTAGTTCAGACATGCAGCAAACTTTCTGTGAAATTTTGCAATCAGGTGCAGGGTGCAAAGCAAAATGGCTTCAGAGTGATCAGCTTTACAGATGGCCACAGTTTCTAGGGAAGTCAGGGTATGAGAGTCAGGTAGCAGCTGGGCTGATGATTATTATTGCCATAGAAACTTTAAAAGCCCATTTTCTCTGGTCCAAACCTATAACTTATGATGTGAAATTCATTTGTACTGAGTATTAAGACCACTCCAAGTATTCGAGTTTCTGTAGTCTTGACCCTTTGCAAACATTTACGCATAGATTATCTCATTTAACTCTTAATCCTTAAGCATGCATTACATGTCAGCTTGTACAAAAATAGAAATTTAGACTCATAGTGGGTAAGTTACACAAGGTCGTACAACTCAATAAGTCATGGGGTCAGGGTTACCCATGTTCTCAGATTCTGAACTATTTTTTAAATATTGTGCCATATGTGTTAAGCATCAGTTGAAGATAAGACCTGCACTACCACACTTATGTGTGTTCATGAAAGCATCACACCCTAGTAGTAAGGGTCATTTATTTGAATGCCTGTTATTCACCAAGGGCTTTATGAACTCGGACCTAGTGACTTTAGTGACCTTCCCAGATTGACGCTAGTTTTACCTCAAGGTATAGAATTTCAGCTATAGATCAAAAATAGTAGGGTGGAAATTGAAGTAGTATTCCTACTCCATTCTGCCTTAAATTGAAGAAGCTTCAAACAACCAGCTGGAATCTAATCCTTAGCTCTTCTATTCCATTTAAGGAACGCCATGAAGCTGTTGTACGGCGTACAATGGAAAGGAGCCAGAGGCCAAAACAGAAGCATAACCGGTGGTCGTGGGGAGGCTCTCTCCATGGGAGCCCTAGCATCCACAGTGCAGGTAAACAGTGACCACTTTCAATATTAGTCTTTTTATTTTCCTGAAAGTGCATTTCCTTCTTTTTTCTAAATCTATGTTTGCAAAACAAAAATCCTGCTGAAATAATTAAACAACAATTAAATGATGCTTTCACTATTTGAGGATAAGAGGGTGATAGAGATAAGTAAGGGGCTCTCCCTTAACACAGGCTGATGTTCTCCTGTTACAAAATTCCTTAAAGGGAGAAATCTATGCAATGTTTATAAATAAACATGCTAGTTTCAACACTACCATTAGTCCTCCATTTGCATTAGGGTTTCAGGATTATGGAATAAGTTAACTAGTTTTATCTTTTTCTCTGGAAGGATTATAGTTATATGGACTGACCAGAATCAATACTATGAGCTTATGTATTCTGACCCTAAAGTATATGCAACACTAATGCTCTGTAAGAAAATGCATAGGCTTATTACGCTAGAAATAGTAATGGACATTTTTTTTTGAATGGACATAAAATCATATTGAAATTTGGATTTACTGAAAGGCTTTATTTTTGTACTGTAAATTCAATACACCTTGAATTTTACATAGTTTGTCAGTTTTGTTTTTGTTTTTGTTTTTTCATTTGTGTGAATCTGATAACCTTTTTTTTTAATTTGCTTTGAAAAATCATTGTTTTACATTCTGTCCCCAGGTGGTTTTGTTGAATCATCATTCTCCTCTCTCGATTTAGCAGGCCTGGACCACCACTTCATAACTTTTGGTGGTACTAGAAAAGCTGGTACAGATATCCCTGCAATTGTTGATTGCCTGACCTGTAGCTAGCACCTCAGACCTAGGGCCGATGCATCAGTAGCTGAGCCATCACCACCTTAGTCATCACGCATGCTTAATACCCTAGCACATAGACGTAGATCTGGAATTGGCACAGTGTTTCTTAAGTGTGATAATATGACTGAGGTGACGTAAAGGTGTTGAAATAAAGTAATTACGTGTAGAACATTTGCTTTCTCTTTCAATGATCATTTTGGTTTTCTATTTAAATTTTTTATTTTTATTTTTTCAATATCAGGATTAAACCTTTTTTTTTTCCTTCCTATGCGAGAAGAATTTCGGTCAACAGGATTAAACCTTTAAAAAAATTTTTTTTAGCTAAAAAGCTACCTGGGATCAAAGTCCATCCAGTTTAGCTTTTCTCCCCTCAATCATTACTGCTGTTGCCACTTTTAGTTTTAAGTTAAATAACTGTGGACCTCTCTTTGTTTGCTTACTCTATTCTCTTTCATTGTTAAAACATTCTGTAGATCTTTTATAACTCCTTTATTTAAAAAAAAAAAAATCTAGGACCAGGTGCAGTATACACACCTGTAATCCTAGTGCCTTGGGAGGCTGAGGCAGGAGGATTGCTTGAAGCCAGGAGTTCAAGAGCAGCCTGGCCAACATAGTGAGACCCCACCTCTATAAAAAATTATTTTAAAAAGTTAGCCTGGCATGGTGGCATATGCCTGTAATCCCACCTACTTAGGAGGCTGAGGCAGGAGGATCACTTGAGTTCAGGAATTTGAGGATACAGTGAGCTAAGAGTGTGCCATTGCACTCCAGCGTAGGCGACAGAGTGAGACCCTGACTCAAAAATGTAATTTAAAAAATAAGAAAAAATTTAAAGTCTAAAAAATATCACCACAACTTACTTTCTTATGACAATGAACCAAATATGAAAGAAGTACTGTTTTCATGGTTCTTCATGACCCAGCAGTAGTTGGAGGGACACATATAAAATCTGTTATACAGATCATTTACATATGAGATTTTGTTGATGGGATAGTTTTGTATATACCTTTCATACAGGAAAGCTGGCAGGGTATATGTTTTTATAATCATATTTTTGTATTACCTGGCTTCCTGTTTTACATATATACTGTTAGATCATCAGACATTTTTGAGGACGTGTTAAGCTACTTAGCTTAATTTTTGGGGTCAACACTCACAGCTTACTATATTACTTTTATTTCTGCCACTCAGAACAAGAGAAACCACTGTGGCATTTGCGAGTTGTTGGGTAAAATTCATTTTAATACAGGTTGTGAATTCGAATAAATTGTTCCTATACTAGAACAGAGAAGTTTGCCTGAAAATAACTGGAATTTGCCAAAGCTTTCAAAGACCAGAAAATGATCTACTATGATATTGAAAGCAGCAACCAGGTCTTACTCATTTTGAATACCCTTTACTTCACAACAACATCCGATGGATGATGGGTATTCTATCACAGTTTGCTGACCAACAAACACATCCCAGAAACTGTCTACATTAAAATTCCTGTCTTGGTCAGCTGCTGGCCATCAGCTAGCACTGGTTTGTAAAGCTTGATACGTTCAAAACTTATTAGTTTGTGAATTTGTTTTGTTCAGTGAGAAAAAGAAATGAATAAAAACTGTCTTATATATTAAGTACTATAACAAATTCATGGAGTGCCTTCATAATTTTAGCAATTTATGACAGATTTAGTTGCTTTTCTGCTCAATGGTACTTTTTAAGACAGGAGGATCTACTGTAGCTCATTTGTTCTATTTTCTCTGAAGCAGAACTAAATGTTTTTAATAGCCTGTTGAGAATCTGTGTGAGGATAGGCCTGCATGTGGACACAATTTTCCCCCAACTAAAGCTTAACATATAAAGCAATATCAGAAAATGTACTGCTATAAAATCACCTGGAAGTGACTTTCGTATTCCGCTTCCTACCCTGTACCTTGCATGTCATCACTAGATGTTCCTTTAGATGTTTGACTCTAAATCTTTTATTTATGTTTGGATTGCCCTAAGAATCCATCAGCTAGGTGTAAATGTGAGGCACAGAAATGGTGTGCTTTTTTTTAAATAATAAAATTGTTTCAACCGTTAAAATGAATCCCAGGTGAAGATAGAAATGTCTGACATAATCAAAGACTTGCTTATTGCCAGTGCATTATAAGTCATAGTCAAAAATGCATGGTGAAAAGTTTCCAGCAATTTTTTTTTTTTTTTCTGCCAAAGTTAGTTAGAGTAACGAGTACTGAGTTTTGGGAGCATCTACTACAAGAAATATTTTTGTTTTCGTTTTAGAAGCAGCTAACAAAAATAAAATACAGTAAAACTCCTTTCACTTTGGCTACTATAGTTCAGAACATCCACCTGCCTCCTGGATAAATATAGTCATAAGATTTTTTAGGCTTTCACTATATGCAGTGTTATTTGAGGAACACAATTTATCCTAATGAGCATGATTATAAACTGGGTCCACTATTCCAACAGCACGCTGCTAATTTTTGCCTTTTATACGGTCATTTCCCTTCTGATTTGAATTTAAGAATTCTAAAAATTATGCCAGGCACAGTGGCTCATGTCTGTAATCCCAACACTTTGAGAGGTCAAGGTGGGAGGATCACTTGAGGCCAGGAATTTGAGACCAGCCTGGGCAACATAATGAGACCCTATCTCTACCAAAATATATATATATATTTAAAAGTTAGCTGAGCATAGTGATGCTTGCCTAAAGTCTTAACTACTCAGGAGGCTGAGGTGGGAGGATTTTGAGCCCAGGAAATCCAGGTCGCAGTGAGCTATGATCATGCCACCACACTCCAGCCTGGCCAACAAAGCAAGATCCTGTCTCAAAAAAAAAAAAAAAGGAATTTAAAAATTACCCGACTACAGGATGAACAATACTATGGTTCATGAGTGTGTTTGCTAATTCTATGTTTGTAGGCCACACTAACTCATAGGCACAGAGGTGTGGTTCTTAGTAGAATTTAACAAAGAAAAGTTTTTTAAAAATCCTTTCCACACTTAGAATTTTTTTTTTCTTCTTTAAAAAACAACAACAACAACCCTTCTTCTATAATGAACTTTAATGCCCTGGGTAAAATGACTCTGTAAGCAAAGTTATCAGCAGTTACACAGGACCTGGTGTTCTTTTTATCCCAGTGTTTGCTTTCTGTGCTACCAGCATGTTACCACTCCCTTGTTCCTCTTTTTGGAGATTTCAAAGGCATTCGCTTTTGTGGTCCTCTTTTGCTTCATAGGGTGCTTCCGCTATCTGGGAAACCCTTCGCTGGCCGTCCTTTGGTCTTCATCCACTTACATCCTTGAATTTCCATGGCTGACAAGCTGGTGAAATGAATATTTATTTTCTCCTTTAAGAGAAATGAATTTTATTTCTAAGCCTTTAAGTTACCTTTAAAATGTCCACTTAGAAAACTGTGTTCTATGACAGATCTAGAAATAGAGCAGAAAGCATCCCATCCTAGTTTTTCCTTCCATCAGTGAAGCAGGAAATTGCAATCTTGCATGTTGGCTGTCAATTAGCGTTATCTCCATTTGTTTTAGATCCAGACAGGAGGTCAGTTTCCACCATGAATCTTTCGAAACATGTTGATCCCGTCATTAGCAAGCGGCTCTCCTCCTCATCTGCAACTTTACTTAATTCTCCAGATAGAGGTACAGTCCAAAGGAAAACAAAAAGTATCTGTTATTTACGTAATGCTTTTTTTTCTGGATGTTTACAGATAAAAAATAAGCATCTGAAGTTGCTTTCCCTACGTTTCTTAAATAGGAAGAAAAAAACTTCAGAGTAAAAAAGCAATAAACGGCTGAGCAGCATTTTCCTTGCGAGAAGAACATTTCTCATTTTAGAACTTGGCTGAGTGATTGCATTTAGCAGTGACGAAAGCAGTGCTTCTCTCAACTTTTTAGTAAATGTGTTTACAGCTCCAGAAATCACCCACTTATCCACCAAAATGCAAATAATCTTTGTTATGAACATTTCTTTTACTTCAATCATACTGTCTTTGACTTCTCATCTGTACTTCGGGAATTCCAGGCTCTGACTTTCTTAAAAACTTTTTAAATGATTCATGTTGGTAGATTTTATTTTGCCAATTTATTTCTCACTTAACCAAATTATTTCTTACTGCATTTCTTATGTGTGCTGTTGGTTTTTCGGTGTCCATTCATTAACTCTTGAGGGATCTGGCCTAACTTCAATAATATCATCATCATTACAGCCTCCTGAAACATTTAATATTCATAGCCCTCCAATTAACATCCTATTTGAATTTTGAGTTTTATTCATCCCATGGATTTACAGTACATCAATGTTGAGTTATTTATAAAGCAAAAGTTTTGTTTTATATATATCATAGAATGAACAAATCAAGCTTTTAAGATAAGCTGCTTGTTTTTTACATAACTAAGATGATTTTTTAAAAAACCAAAGAATTGTTGTGCAGTATGAAGCCCATACTCTTTAAAAGTAAAAAATTGTGGTTACTTTGAGTACTTTATTAAGAAACCGATTGGGAAAGTTTCAGTGTTTATAATCTTTAAAAATTGTAATGTGTGCATGTTCTGTATGTGTGTATGTATATTTATCTATTTTGTATTGTATAAAAGTTATGGTGTCATTGTAATGTACAATATTCTATGAGTGTTGGTGTTATTTTATAACTAATCTCTTTTAAAAGAGTAAATGTTTGAACAACTTTACATTCTTGCCTTTTAACCAAAACCATTTCTTTTTGGTTTTCTAACCTAATTTGCCTAAACCATCAATATTGGACGTGTAGTCAAATTAGGGGCCTTTCGTAAATATTATGAATTAAAATTTATTTCATAAAAGCCTTTATTTTCAAACCTATTCCCTTAATATAAGACAAAATACAACATGTGAATGTTATTCTTACAGTTGTCTATTCATCTTTTCTTTGCAGTTGGTCACCCAGCACTTTAGTTTCACCTAGCACTTTAGTTTCAAACTTTTGTGAACCTGGATCTGATACAAACTACAATTAATATTTTATAGTACTTTAAAATTTTATTATCTTCTACAATCCCACCTCTGAAATTAGGGTAGGGTGGGAGTGGGGAGCTGGACAACAAACTGGGCAATATCCTGTCCATGCTGTGGAATGACATAATGAATTGTCTGTATCAGTTAGAAAGATGTTTTCTACACTCTGCGCAATAGTATTCAGTTAGACTGTCTTAAGGCAGTAGAATCTTGGAACCAAGAAAGATCTACTGGACAGATCACCTACTGTAGTTGGGGTAGTGAATCCCTAAGAGGTGGTGAGCCTGTCTTAATATCCTACAGGCTAATTGTTGCAGAAGAGCGACTCCTTACCCATGTGACTGCCACACTCCATCCTCAGTTCTCACCTTCATGGGTGTCCTTTCTTAGATTGACTCTGACTCTGTGCATTTTGTGTGTGTGTGTGTGTGTGTGTGTGTGTGTGTGTGTGTGACCTTCATGGGTATCCTTTCTTAGATTGACTCTGACTCTGTGCATTGTGTGTGTGTGTGTGTGTGTGTGTGTGTGTGTGTGTGTGTGTACAGTTAGAAGTGGTAAGGAATAGAGAATTAGGACATAGGACAGCAGGGTTAAGGGAAGTTCAATACCCAGTGGTTAGATAGGGCCAGAAAACTGCCCCTTGAATCATGGTAGAGGCCCAACTAAGCAGAAATAATAGGACAAGAAGGAGAACACTAGATTTGAGAGTTCTGCTTCTCTGCCTCCTTACGGAAGAACTGTCAACCAGTTCCTGGTCTAACAGGCCAGGTCAGCCTGGAAGAGGTTGCCATATATTGCCTAGGAAGGAATTTTTTTTCTTTTTAACTTAGGCAATACCCTCAGTAGAACAGTGAGAGGCTTAGGCCTTTTATTATAGTAAGAATTTTAAAACTTCTTCTGAATTTGAATTTCTCTAATTTAAAAATCTAAGGCCAGGCACAGTGGCTCACACTTGTAATCTCAGCACCAGGAGGCTGAGGCGGGTGAATCACTTGAGCCCAGGAGTTTGAGACCAGCCTGGGCAACCTGGTGAAACCCCATCTCTACAGAAATCACAAAAATTAGCCAAATGTTATGGTGTGCTCCTGTAGTTCCAGTTACTCAGGGGGTTGAGGCAGGAGGATCACGTAACCCTTGGGAAGTTAAGACTGTGGTGAGCTGTGATTGCCCCACTGCACTCCAGCCTGGGCAACAGAGTGAGACCCTGTCTCAAAAAGAAAATAATTAAAAATAAATAAAAGAAACTTAAGTAATTCCATTAGTTTTTTCCTGCTGTTTTTTAAAGTTCATTATGCTTCATTATCTCATTAGAAGGCATTCTTACCAGATTGTTAGAGTAACTTATAAACAAATATGTCAAGCCAGTATATATATTGTTATTAGATTGTTTAAGGTTTTTTAGTCCTAAGGCATAGGCCTTAAAACTGAGATTAAATTGAGACTCTGATACCATCAGGGCTCATGTTTTGCTGGAATGCATCCAAACAGCTCTACTAGTTATTAGAAATAATGAAATTTTTTCGTATCACTTCTCCAAGATGTGCTTCCCCAGGCCCTCCAAAGCCAATGGAAGCCAGCCATTAGCTTAGCGTCTGTGCCTTGTCAGTTTTTAAATATTTTAATTATTACATCTGAATATAGTATCATAATGAACTGATAAAATTACTTTGGTTAAAGGAAACCTCTGATTATGAAAGGTGTCTGTAACTGCTGCAACAGAATATTGCCACTGGAAATTTTTACCTTGAAAGTATATACTGTTATCTTTAAGCTGTCTCTTTAACCAACTTTTTCTCAAGAAAGAACATTAGGAAGTTGGAAAAGAGTAAGAATGAAATTGCCTACTCTTTGCTTAAAATCCATCAATAAACTTTTTTCCTGAGAATCTCCATCATAGGACTCAGAGGTGGACCTCAAGCTGAATTCTGCTCACAGGCTTATTCTGTTTTACCTGAGCAGAGTGTCTGTTCTTGTTTTAATTAGAATTAATTGCCAACACTTAAAATGTAGACTACTTCATATAACATTTCGATTTTCTACTTCTAATGAAAAAATCAGGACCTGGCAACATGTGTCTAATTTCTTCATGGCACCTATTACCTGAAATGGAATAGTGATGTCACACTTACGGGAGGAAGTGGTAAGGCAGGTATCTGTAAAGTTTGTTTAGCTCCAATTATTTATTTATGTTAACCTGCATAGCCCCCGGAGACCTTTGAGTTTGCCTCTCTTCATCTGAGTGGTCTATGACGGAAATTGTCAGTATCTCAATTTTAAGTGCTTAAATAGGATTGATGCCATTAGAGTTGTTCCATAAGAGTTAATATCTCTCCCTTCAGTTTTGTAATCTTAAAATCAGACCCCTCTAGGTGGAAAAAAAAATACACCAACTCTCATTTATTAACCTTTACTAAAAAGTTATTTTACGAAGCTCTATTTCCATCTTGGTCAAGGGATAGTTATGAATGTGGTGGAAGTAGAAACGGGCTTTTCCTAGCAGTATGTTTAGTTCACGGTATCAGGAGATAGAAAACAAATCTCTCTGGATTTGCTTTACATGCAGGTTAAAATGGGTTTTTAATCATTTGAAATAAATTTTTTTGTCGATACCTTCAGACTCATAGAAATAAAGTAACTGAACTTAAGGGAGAAAGCAGACTTATTTTTTCAATGACAACTCATCTCTGCAGTTGTAAGCCACAGTCATCGCACAGTTTCTCTAAGAAAAGGGTTTAACTTCCCTTCTCATCTCTTGAAAATAGTTGTTGAAGATTTTCAATTAATCCAAATCACCTTTTCCTCATTGACTTTACCCTGTAAATGTATTATAATCTTAGATTGCATTCTGTTCTGTTGTTACACACACTCACACAGCAGTACATAGCTTATGGTAGTACTTACCCATGGTGCTTTCTACATTGTAACTAATGCAGTAGTTTTAATAACATGTCTTTTTAATTAATGTCTTAATGTCAGATAATATTTAATTTAACCGTGAAGACTCTTCTTATACACTCTGACAAATGATTCATTAATTCTTAAATTCACCAGAGCCTGATCAAAATAGCTACTCTTTTAAAATAGTCACATAATTAAGATACTTCCTGGAAGTTGATACTTCATTCCAAATAGAAGCAACTATCTTTAAGACAGTGTTTAGCAGTATATGGCTTTTATTAACTAAAACTAATTTCCTAGAATTTAAATGCCATTCAGTTAAAATATGTATATATATATATATATGATAGTTATATAGAACACTGCTCCAGAGGCAGGGGAGACTTGCACCTGCTGTTTGTGGAGCAGAACAGAAGCAGCCTTGTCAGGTGTAGACAGTTTAAAAGACTTTTAATTCAGACACAGTGGCATGCACCTGTAAACCCAACTACTTGAGAGGCTAGAGAAGAAGGCTTGCTTGAGCCCAGGAGTTCAAAATCAGCCTGAGCAACATGGCAAGACCCCTGTCTTTAAAAAAAGAAAGAAAGAAAGAGATAATGTAATCACTTTGCTTCAGTGATATTTGTAGAATTTTGCAAGCTTTACTGATATTTTTGCAAAATAGCCTCTATCTTTTCATAAGCCATCACTGGAAGCTAACCATATAAGCAAAGTACTTAATTTATAATTGGCTGCATTTCCTAACTATGACCTTGCTAAGCTCCACTATAATTTGGGACCATACATCATTGCACTATGTTAAATTTGTTTTCCAGATTTCTTAGGCACCCACTAGTAATCGCTAGGATTATATTTATATTGGATTTTAGCTTTTCTGTTTAATTTTACCATGCTTCAGCCATAGCCTTGTCCTCAGCCAAATTTTTTATATTGTTGCCAAAGAGAGACCTGAAAGAACCTGGCTTGCCAAAGGAAAAGGCTAAAAGGATTCCCATACAGAACTTTGCATGAGTCTTCTTTCATTTTATTATATCTAATTCCCACACACATACTCCCATTGCCCAAGTAGTAATTCATGGAGATTTAGCATAATTTACTGGGGCCCCTTTCTGTCTTTCATTTGACTCCAGTCTTCCATTAACCTGCCAATGCCTCTATTGGGGTTTATTATTCAAGGTACTTAGGAAGCCTTTTGACTAAGGAGTGTGCCATACTGCCCATCCCAATGCCCATCAGTACCACTCTAGAGTTACAGATACACACCAAAACAATAGCTGAAATGTTCTTTTTGTTTTATTGCCATTTGACTAGTAAAAGAGGGTGTTTAGCAAAATTTGCATCTGTAAAATTAATTTAGAGCCTGCTACCAACCTAACATCTTGAAGAAAAGAAACCTTATGGAATAACCACTCCCTCTGCACAGGGGTCCTGTTGCCCTGACTCTTGGCCAGCCGTCCTCCCTGCAGAGCCTGGTCCTGTGAAGGCCCAGCGTATGGAAGCAATAGGTATGATGTATTATGCCCTCTTGTCTCTGAAAAGAATGCTTCTAACATCTTGCTTATGTGGTGACGTTTAGCTCGCCGCCTGCAGCTCAGCCCATGGGAGAGCAGCGTTGTTAACAGACTCCTGACGCCCACACATTCATTCCTGGCCAGAAGTAAAAGCACAGCTGCCTTGTCTGGAGAAGCAGGTAAAACTGTCCAGGTAGAACTTTCCCTGGGAGGTCAAGTGCTCCCTTTGAAGCATATTCATCTAATCACATCTCACTTTTTCCTAAAGTGTGCTTCTCTCTTCCCCTGGTAGAAATGTCTGTCAGTGTTGGTTTCATACCCCTGGCATTGTTTCCCCTGGGCACCAGCCTTAGCATCTTACCTGGACACCAGATGCCAGGCAGGCTGAGAAAGCCCTCCCTGGGCTCCGATGGCTTCAGAGGCTTCTGTCTGTTCATAACATTACCCGAAGAAAGTATTCCTTCCCTGCCTTTCCTTCTGCCTCTGTCTCTGAGCAGATAATCCAAGGTAGAAATAATTTAACATTTAATACTAATATATGAACTTGAGAATAAAATCAAAGCACAAGTCTGATATTTAAGCATAGAGTTTTATAATGTGGCTGTGGCACAGCTACTTATTCTCCCTGTGCCAAGCTTTTATATGTAATCTAGGAATGTACCCTTCCAGAACTCTCAGAGTTGTGGAGTAGGCTAATTGTAATATCCTTATTTGTTACATACTTTGAAATTATATGAAACATGCTAAGTACCAGTTATGATGATTAGTTATAACTCCTACTTTTTTGAAATGCAAAACGTACCGGAATTAGCCAGTTAATTTAATGAGAAGTTAGTATAGAGCCTCCATCTAGTTGGTAAGAAAGGTACATATTAGACTTTGGGTAACATCTCTCCTGGTGAGTTGATTTAGGTTTTCTCAAATATCTTTGGAGACAATTGGAATATTTATATAAACAGTCTACCAGCCCACATTTTTGGCACTTTAAAAGTGCTTTGCCCTTGCAAGCCTCTCCACGTTCATTAGCCCCCTTTTAAGTAATAATTGTTAGTGGATTTATAGTTTATTTAATCTACAGTGCCCAATGAACGAATGAATCTCAGTCCTAAATCTCATAGTACCCCTGGGAGACAATCACGAAGGCAAGCGTTGGCATTCCCGCCACCTTCTTATGGAAACCAAGTGCAGTGGCATAAGTGACTTACACCAAAACCACTTAGAAAATTGATAGGCAGGATCAGAGCTGTGTTTACCCCTCCATCCTCAATGCCCTGAGTGATGCTTTATGAGCAGTTACACAGTCAACTAGCTGGACCACAACGTTCTGTGTTCTCTGTAAAGTCACTCTCCTGTCAGAGCTGTCACATTTGCATCTGAGGTTTTTCTGGAGGAAAAAGTACAGCTTATTTCAATATTTTTTTCTATGCCTATGAATTTCACACTTTCCACAAGTCGTGAGTTTTTCTTTATATCTAGCTAATTGAAGAAGCTTTAAAACTGCTTTTCAGTCCTATTTTCTAGCATCTAGCTGGTTTATGGCTGTCATCCTTCTGAATCTCCCCTTGTGTGCTATGTTGTGCTAAAGGACTGCCTCTCAGCTGGGAAATTGTCTTTGCTATTTTTGTCATCACTAACTGTTGTCACTTATTTCACTCTCCCTCTAGTCTTTTCCAACACAGTTTCCTCATTTTCCACCCATTCTACTTTTCCTCTTCTTTGTTGTTATGCTCAACCAAGCTGCCTTTTTTATCTGCAAACTGACTCTTTACTTTGACACTTTTCCATTCTCCTTTTCACAAGTTGACATGTTTCTGTAATTTATTTTAGTGGCAAAGAGTGCACAGCCTTTACTTGAGCTGCCTGTTTTGTCAATACATTGCCTACTTCATTGTCACCTATTTCATTGATACAGCTTATGTTTAATGAACCAGAACTCCTGGGGTTTTTTAATTTTCACATGGAATTATATATGCAAACGTCTCTTCCAGTAATCTTGTCAAAACCACATTTTTCATCATTTTTATTTTTCATCTACTGTCCGTGATTATTCTTTCATGTTTTTCCATTTTAGCGTTGTCCCTTGACCTCATCGTATTCCTAATTGTCATTGGCAAGAAGGTAACCTATAGCATGTCCTGTGCTGAGTTACGTTAGCAGATTAAACAGCTACTTTTAGCCCTAGGATGTACAGTGATTGCAAACTCTCTGCACAAACAGCAGAGTAATTGAGAACCGGCATTCTTAGTCTCACACCTCTCATTTGTAGCCACTGCTTTGGGTTGACTTTTCTATACTTTTTTCCCCCAGGAGATTCAAAATGCATGTGATTATTAGAGCTCAGGATTAAATAATGTATATTCAGTGCGTGGACTAGTCCTGCACATAGTAGGCTCTCAGTAAATGCTAGTATCATATTATGCAGTTTTTCTTTTTGCTGTGCTACACTTCAACCATTTGAACTGCATTATCTTTTCTTTGCACCCATTATTTCATATAGAAAATATTGAATGAGTTAAATTAATGCATCCTTATGACTAAGAGTAGGATGAAATGCATACATTGTGGAAGACTTTCTCAAAGACATTTTCCTGAGATAGTGTTCATGTTTAACTACTTGGGATATGAAGTGTACTCTGAGAAAAAATAACTATATATTGTTCTTACTATTTCTTCAGAAGGGCAAGATTATTCAAATAATTGACTTGAAGATTTCAGGTTTTTCAGTACTTGCTATTGAGTACAGCGATGAATTCCATGAAATCTAATACCCTTACAAGTAGTTTATGTTTATTTTAGCCAAAAGATGTTCTTCGGACTAAATTTGAGGATGTTTTTCTATGGACTATACTAGATAGGTTTAAGGATATTTTCAGCTCATATTTAGTATCACTTCAACATTAAGATAAAGAATAAACCAGAAGGCCTGGTGATATTGGCTTATATCCATGATAGCCTCAGGAAATGCTCCATAGATACTTAATGAAATTATATTTTTTCACTCGAGGGAAAAGAAATCGTATTTCTGTGCTTCATTCCTTTTTCAGCATCAGACCCATGGCCTCCAAGCAGAGCTGTTTTCTAGGGTTTCTTGATCCTTGAGCAAGGTGAATGGCCTCTGGCTGTGCCCTGGGCAGTGCGTGACTCCCCCACCCCTCCCCGTTATTAATCTCCATAAGTGCCTTGTGCCAGGATATGATTCCTTAAATGCATTTGATTGGTTTGGAAGAATTTTGCGTTAGTGAACTCTTTCTTGTCTGGAAAATGCAAATGCCTTGTTGTGGCACTTGAGAAAAGGTTACTTTCAAAGAGTTCTTCCTGTGATCACAGGCAAAATGACAAGAGGTTCCCTTCCTTCACAATACAAATCCTTCCTTCTCCATTAAGGCTGGAAGTAAAGCTTTATGTCTGTTTCCAAGTAAGACACACATATATTCTTTTAAGGGAAACTGAATAAATTGAAAAAGTGTTTTAATTTGTCCTGAAGAAACAGAATTCTGTTTTCAAATGTTGGGAAAAAGGAGTGCAGTTTCCAATCTTCACTGTTGAGGCTGCAGTGAGCCGAGATCATGCCACTGCACCCCAGCCTGGGCAACAAGTGAGATCCTATCTCAAAACAAAACAACCATCCAGTGATAGCCAGAAGATACTGTCAGGCATTTAATGAAAGAGAGTGCATTAATAAAGATGCAATCTGATTGAATTTCTGCTATAAATTAAACCAAAATGCAAATATTTTTCAACCCTATAATCCTGAAATTAAAATCACCCCAAATTTGTCTTGTGAACTTTTGAGTTTTTAATTTATTAATCCTTTTACATTCAGATGGCATAATGGTTTATTTAAAGGATTACTACAAAGGCTACAGTTGAAAAGTCCTTTTATAACTATGTCCAAATGCATAGTATTCTCTATAGTTGTGTTTGTCTTATTTTTGCTGGGAATTAAAATTTCTGAATGAGATCTGAAAATAGACCTTAGAACCTGAACGTTTACACTTCTGATACTTATGCAGTGTTACTTTAAACCCACTGTTGTTCACAATAACTTGATTAATGACAGTGTTCCTTTGAGGGTAAATGGTCAGAACTTATGTGGTTTTTCATAAAATATTCCATCTTGAGTAAAACTCTAAAGGTTCTTCATGGTTCAACCTTACATTTAGCAGATCTAACATATTTATGTTCTTTTCAACATTTTAAATAGTTATAGCTAATCTCCCATATGCTCTACTGCTGCTTCTTATGAACTGTCAAATGTCTTGGGCTTTTGGGAAAACCCAGAAGCATGCATTTGGTTTGCCTGTAAATAAATAAGATATATACAGAATATTTTCCTGGAAAAGTATTACTTATCCTTATGACAAGTCTTAACACCTGGTAAGACTTGTTCATTTAACATTTTTTGTTTGGTTGCTTTTTTCCCCTGCTGGCTGTTGAACTTGAATCCTGAAACAGTTGTAGTGTATCTTGCTTGCCTGCTTGCACACTTCCTCTCTTTCCACCTTTTGTTCCATCTTAAAGCTAATTTAGGAAAAGTCTGGTAATGTAGTCTTTATATAAAAATTATCTTTTATCACTAATGTAGTGTTTTTTCCAGAACCATCAGCTAATAGGAATATAAAACCATTGCTCTCCATAATTACTGGATAACATCTACATCTTTCATTAGTATTTGAAGAGCCAAAGCTAACAGTATATTCCAGATTTTTTATGTGGACATGCCTTCCTTTTGGACTCATCATAAATTCATAGGACTGTAAGGACAGTTGAGTATGATGGTTCTGGGCACCTTTAGGTAATAACATCTTCTTCCTACTTTTCTCTCTATCTCTGCTTTGCTCCTTTTCCTGAACCTGCTTTTGGCTTTCTTCAACTGCTCCTCTGGCACTCTTGTGTGTTAAACCAATCACCTGCACCCTAGTTATCCCCATTTGTCCTCGTTCAGCATCTTGCAGTCCCATCATCATGCCCTACAAAGCTGCACACTCTAGAAATTCGATGGATCGACCAAAACTCTTTGTAACACCACCTGAGGGCTCTTCTCGCAGGAGGACCATTCATGGCACAGCGGTGAGTAGCTGTTGGGAGCAGCTGGGCAAGTCTGGGAGCCAGTGCTGTTCCTGTGCAGACTGGACATGACCCCGAGGTGCGGTGTGGGCGTATGACGGGGAGACCGCGACATCCACCATCCCATCTCTCCCATTGATCATGAATCTGGCTGGCTGGGCAGTAGTGTTCCCCCACTTCCTCTTCACTTGGGGATTTTGCTCTCCCTAAACATTTGAATTTGAAGACGAAAGCTGTTCTTTGTTCAAGCATATATGAATGGACACCCTACCCTGCTGAAGCGTCCATATGCATAAGTGCAATGCCAGAATGCTTTCATTTTTGAAAGCAGGAAAACCAAATGGCCTTTGGAGGGGAAGTGGGCTTGGACCGCTGCCTTGGCATTTTATTCCAACCATATCCAGAAGCTGGCTGAACTCTAAATGTGGTTCACTCAAAAGCAAGATAAAGAATTTTTATCCTGCTTGGCTAATCCCTGTCAAGGCCCAGATCTTAAAATATAGTCAAAAAAGTATTTTGAAAACATTAGTCATTTGCTAAACCACCAATTCCTGAAAGGCTGTTAGGCTATGCTATAAACTCAGAATTTGTAAGTGAAAAATATAATTTGTACTTGTTATTACTGGCTGATGTAATGTTAATTTTCACCATGCCATAAATGCAATGAGGTAATTTGTGTGTCTCCAGGAATCTTTCTTCTTTGTTTTAAATCCTGTGTATATCAGTTGAAAGATAGAAACCTTGTTCTGTGGTCTTTAGACATTGTGCTTTAGTCTTAAAGGACTCACCAGTCAACTAGAAGATCTTATTGCCTCTCTCCAGGATAACAGTATGACCCTTTTAATGAAAGGCCGGAACAATTTCTTGAAATCGTAACTTCCCAGAGCAATTCAGATTTATAGACCTGATGGACACTTAAAAGGATTTGGCTTAAAGGATAATTCAGGGTTGTGAGAGCTTCATGACTTTGCCCATAGGCTGTTTTTCTTTCAAGCTCCTTCAGCCTTTCTGGAATCAGTGTTTGATTCATGATTGAGTCAGGCTTCCAACCCTCTAAGCCACAGGTGAACAATCTTTGATGTCTGGGAAGTTTTAATTTATTAGAGTGTTGGTGTTTCAGAGATGCTGCTTGGTGGTGGACAAAAAGCCATAGTTAAACAGAACAGTTTGGCCCCAAAGTTGGGTACTCACTGGACAGGGAAAAGAGCATTTACCATGGAAAAAAATATCTTGTTCTGGGTAAAACAAAAATTAACACTCCTTGAGAGAAGGTTGAGGGTCACCTGTGGCTGACAGATTAAATGAGAGGGATTTGTCATCACATGATCCTGAGCCTTGTTTTGTTTTGTTTTTAACGCCTTCTTCTTTCTCTGTTTAATCACTTAGCTGTCTTTTTACCTCTTTACAACCAAGTATTTAGGCAAAGACTGCCAGAAAATGACTCAAGGTGTCATTTATACCCTGGCGCTGCACTGTGGTATTCAATAGTGACTGGCCACAGTGAGCACCTGGAAAGTGGCTAGTGAGACTGACAAGCTGAATTTTAAGTTTTTAAAAAACGTTTAATTGTGGTGGGAAAAAAACCACATAACATAAAATTTAATATTTTAACCATTCTAAAGTTCAGCAGTGTTAAGTATATCCATATTGAAATGCAACCGATGTCCAGAACTTTTTAAGTTCTTTAGAACTCAAACTGTACTCCCGTTAAACAACTTCCCATTTCTCCTTCCCCGCAGCCCCTGGCAGCCACTGTTGTACTTTGTTTCTATGAATTTAGCTACTTTAGAGACCACATAAAAGTGAAATCATGCAGTGTTTGAATTTTTGTACCTAGCTTATTTCACTTTGCATAATGTCCTCAAGGTTCATCCTTGTTATAGCTTATGTCAGAATTTCCTTCCTTTTTAGGGCTGAATAATGTTCCATTGTATTTGTATACCACATTTTGTTTATCAGTTCATCCGTTAGTGAACATTTGGGTTGCTTTCACCTCGTGGCTTTTGTGAATAATGCTGCTATGAACATGGAAATACAGATATCTCTAGAGATACTTCTTTTAGTATCACTTGATATACAGGGACTGCTGGATCATATAGTAATCCTATTTTCAATTTTTTGAGGAGTCTCCATGCCATTTTCCATAGCAGCCGTACCATTTTACATTCCCACTAACAGTGCACAAAGATTTCTGTATCTTCACATTCTCATCAACAATCGTGATCTTGTTTTTTGATAAGAGCCATCTTAAGGAATGTGAGGTGATGTCTTGTAGTTTTGGTTTGCATTTCTTTAGTGATCACTGATGGTGAACATATTTCATATACTTGTTGGCTTTTCATGTATCGTCATTAGAAAAATTTCTATTCAAGTTCTTTGCCTACTTTTTAATTGGGTTGTTTCATTATTGTGGAATTATAGAGTTATTTATATATTCTGGTAGTCATCCCCTATTAAATATATGACTTGCAAATACTTTCTCCTATTCCATAGGTTGCCTTTTTACTCTACTGTTTTCTTTGATGCATAGAAGTGTTTCAGTTTGATATTGTCTCATTTGTCTATTTTTACTTTGTTGCCTATGCTTTTGGTGTTATGTCCAAGAAAGCAGTACCAAATGCAGTGTCATGAAATTTTTTACTTATGTTTTCTTCTAGAGGTTTTATAGTTTTAAGTCTTACATTTAAGTCTTTAATCCATTTTGAGTTACCTTTTGTCTATTTTATAAGGCAAGAATCCAACTTCATTGTTTTGCATTTGGATATCCAGTTTTTCATTTGTTGAAGAGAATGTCCTTGTCTCATTGAATGGTGTTAGCATTTGACCATATACACAAGAGATTTGTTTCTGGTTTCTGTATTCTATTCCATGGGTCTATATATCTTTTTTTTTTTTTTTTTTTTT